CAACCTCCTTTAGCATTTTAACTGAGAGATAATTTCACCAGTTATGGTGCCATTTCTCATTTTAGATTCCCCACCTTCTGACACTCACCAATGCTGTTAAGCCAAGCTGGATTAAAACAAGGAAATCTGAGAGCTGGAGACACAGTAGGTTGTGAGGCATGACCATGACCTCCCCACATTTGTCACATGAAGATGAGGTGGACCTGGACATGGGATGTGCCAAAGGTATCAGCCACTCTCCAAACCAGCTTCTGTTCTCTTTGTAGCAGCACCAAGTAATTGTGGTGTCCTCCTTTCACCTGGGCTGGGGAGACTGTAATTACCTGGGTAAAACAGGCTTGATTCTTCCTGCTGCTCTGCACCTTTCACTGGCCATGAAAACTTGAGTAAAGTGGGTGCAAAAGGCTACCAGACCAGAAAGATGTCATTTTGCATCCATGCACATGAGCACGTGTAAGGAACAAAGGCCTCCATAATAATGCTCTCTCGTCTGTTGCCCTGTAATTAAGCAATTCCTCAGGCAATGAAAATAACAAGGCCCTTTTTCCTCAGGGTTGGGTTCTTTGCTATCTAAAAAGGATGTGGCCTCTTCCTGGGGACAGAAGTATTTGTAAGTTCTCCTCCCAGGTGGTATCCAACTTGGGCCTATGTCCTGCTGCAGCCTCTCTCTCGGGAGCCATGGCTGCTCCAAGAAAACCTCTCTCCCATTGGCTTATTTTCCTGAAACCTACAGAAACTTTTGAGGGCTCTACGATTCCATTGAATTTGGTTGAATTTGGTCAAGGGCTCAGTGTTTGCAAGAGCATTGACAGGCAAATGCATAAAGTGAGACAGAACAATGTCATAAACATGTTCTTGCTAAGGAAAGAAGGTTAACTTCTTGGGAAGTTTGTTAGCTAGGTGTTAGATTTTGGTATTTTGTTGCTCTTTCAGTAGGCATTGCCTGACTGGAGCTCTTGCCAGCAGTGCCGGTAAAGACAGTACCTACAGATGAATAAAAGCAATTGGCGATTGAAGCTCAGGGCAGGGGCAGTGGTAGTCAACTGGGTGTAGAAGAAAACTGGAAAGTTCATTTAATCCACAGAATCCAGGATTATGTTCACTGGACAGATCATGAATCTGAATGGAGAAAGAAGCTGAATAAAGAAACTGCAAGAGAAGGTTTCCTTTAGTTTTGGTCCAGGACAGCAGTCACAACATGGCAGTCAGTGGTATATAAGACTCTCTTAAAATGTATGAAGTATCCCCTTTCTAGCAGGGCTCCAGCCTCATAAATAGGCTCCAGCCTCATAAGAAACCCAATAGCGACTTGCAGAGACAACAGCTTTCATTAGATAAGCCACCCAACTGCAATCTGGTATCTTTTGTTGTGATAATGCCATGGGTGCAAACACTGAGTAGAACCCAGGCCATGACTCCCAGAATGCAGGAGAAAGCTTTAGTCCTTACCCCAAAACCCATAGATCAGAGATAGGAACCTGGAAGGAGAAGAGGTACCAAATCCAGATGACACAGTTCCTCACAGGAGAAGCAGCATTTATTGATTATGCAAAGACTTTTACAAAATTACAGCTGCCTGGGGAAAGCCGGGTATGCCCCAAGCTACACTGAGATGTCCTCCTGCCTGCAGACACCATTTTATTTCTCCTTGTGCACAGCAGCTTCCTGAACAGCTTTTCCAACATGAAAAGACAGTCACGTTGGTGTGTTTAGTGGAAGGCAGAGAGCTGCACAGATTGAGGGCTGAGCGCTCTCCCTCCCTGGGTCCGTCCCTGCTGAACTCGTCTGGCACGAGACGGAGATGGAAGCAGCAGGTCCCAACAGCACGGAGCTGTTACGGCCATACCTTCAGGAAAAGTCTATCTCTGGACCTTCCCGAGCAGCAGATCAATACCGCGCTCCGCATCAGCCAAGCTGTTATTCACGCCAAAGGCAGTTGTTCGGATGAAGGGATGAGGAGTGCACAAGTTCACTGCGTCTCAGTACATGAGCTCTGTTTTCTTCCCCCCTTCCTCTCCCGTCGATGCCTTCATTATTTATGTGTGACAAATCAAATGCAGCGGTTCAGGGGGATAAAGCGTTTCCCAACATGCCCCCTTGCCTCCTGTTCTGGTCCGAGCGTGGCCCGTGTCCCGCGTGCTGCAGAGCCCACAGGCCTGGAGAGCGGCACCAAGGGCACCCACGGGTGGACAAAACGCTGCGGCTGCCGCGCTGGCACCAATAGCTGCCGCCAGTTCATAAAATATTCACCCCAAATTATTCACGTGACGCCAGAAGTGACAAATCACCCCACGGAAGCGCCCGAGAGCAGGCGGAGCGTGGCCGGGTTGACGTCGCGGTGCCTCGTGGGGCGTTGTGGCGCCGCGGCGGCCATCGCGGCCTACGCGTGGCCCTGCGCGCGCAGCGATGCGCGATCGCGAAACATCAAAGACTGATTATTATCAATAATCGGGACAGGAGTATAACGTACTGCAGAAATAGATTTTTTTTTTTCCTATCATCTTCAGATTCTGCTGTTTTTTTTTTCCTACGGTGACAGGATTATTTACAACCCACAGTTGAAAATACACACAGCAAATACACTTAAAAATAAATATTCTCCCTATAAAAAGTAGCAGTTATTTTTATCTGCTTGAAAACAAACCACGGTTTCAAACAAAAGCCCCCAAACGCCAAAAAATGCCACTGTCCCCTCAAAAAAAAAAAAAAGCCTCGGCCCACATCCGGCCTAAGTTTATTATGACTGTCAAGTTGCTAGAATCACAGTCGTGTTAAGCAGTTATCGCAGCTACCAACTTTGCTGGGGATTCACATGTAGCTCTTTCCCCCCCACAAAGTCCTAACTAGGTTTTGAAATGTGAACGATGCAGTTCAAAACAAATAAAAAAAAAAAGGACATGGATTTTTTTTTTCTTTTATTTAGGAGGTGTGTGAAAGTGGTTAATTTACGACCACATCAAAAAAAAAAAAAAAAAAGAAAAAAAAAAGTGGACATAAATATTTATGATCGGAAATTTCATTATTTAAAATTATTCTATAAATTTGCTAGTAACTCGAAGATGAATGCCTGCTGTACAGTTTGCAAATTAAGTACAATTATTTTCCTCTTCTGCACTTGAATATAACTCACAGCTAAAGTCATTTAAAGGGGTTAACATCAACCTTAATTAAATATTAAAGTGTGCCTGTACCTGCTGCTATTGTTGCCCTTAGAATAAGATATAACCTATTTTTGACAAGTTTTCATCTTTCTCTGTGGAAGACGCTACATGAAACCAAATCAGTGGCAAAGAGGAGGGTAATGAATAATCTATTTCATATTCCGGCAGTACCCAGAGCTCTGAGTGGAAAAATATTCAGTCAGATGATAGTATGAGGCTGCTGAGGTACCACATGACGCAGCTAATGTTTAAATAATAATAATAATAAAAAAAAGCGATAAACAAATCATTAGCCCTTAACAGTTGTTTAATGCAATTTGTTAATGAACGTAATGGTGGGGACTAATAATGAAAGAAAATAAAAACGTCTAAACAGGCGCCAAGTTGCCAGTGATGCTCAATTATTTCCTTGTCAAGTTTTTATGATTTAATGAGCTCCTCTGGGACTGACGGCTGTCAGTCAGTCGTGACTTTTTGACACCATTACAACTTCAAATACAGCAGCAGGCAGGCTGTTTTCCTCGGATTTGAAATACTGAAATGATCTGACAGGTTTAAAGAAAAATGTGCAAAAAAAAAAAAAAAAAAAAGAGAGAGAGAGCGAGAGAGAGAGAAAAAGAGAGAGAGACACAGTTGCTTTTTCTTTTTCTTTCTTTTTCTTTTCTTTTTTTCTTTCTTTTTTTTTTTTCTATGAGGGCAGACGATCTCTGGATGCTGTTTGGTAATGAAAACCCAATCACAGAGGTCATTATCTGATGAGCTTTTTTTTTTTTTTTTTTTTTTTTTTTTTTTTTTTTTTTTTTTTTTTTTTTTTTTTTTTTGGAACTGGCAGGTTTTTTTTTTTTTCTTTATTTCTTTACTTAATGATAACCCTCGATGGGTTTGCCCCGCATGGGATGGTCAGAGCCGCACAATTTTGTTCACCATTAATTTCAGCCTTTGAAGCTCAGAGCTCTGAAGCAGCAGCAAAGAAAACCCCCCACCAAGCTGGCTCCAAAATAAGACAATCCAGGCTGCCTTAAACAGAATAGCAAATGGCCTCCCATCCCAGAGATGGGAACTGACGTCAGTCAAGCTACATTTTCTGATATTCCCCCAAAATGTATAGCATTTAAAACCCTTTAAAACTTAAGGGTCTTTAATTAAATTGCTTTTGATTTTGCATCAGTGTCGAATTAGTTTATTTATTGCGCAAGCAGAGCCGGCTAGCGGGGAGGACTTGGGCACGCAGCACCACGTGCGGGTTGTAATTTGCTGCTTCCCAACAAAGGCTGGTGGTGAGGGGAGAAATGTCCCTCTGGCCGAGGTGCCCATGTGTGAGTGCTTGGATCCTTCCAGGGCTGCACCATCGGTGGTGTCACCTTGGCCGAGGGACGCACAGGGGGTTTTCCCCTTCCCGGGGGCATTTTGTTGCTCACGTTGAGCTGCCTCAGGCTCTGCTCGGGTCCCACGTCCCACAGAAATGTGTCTAGTTGATGGGACTCCAGGAGATGGGGGAAAATGGGATGCAGAGCAGCAACCTTGCATTTGAAGACCCTACCTTGTGCTCAAGCAGGATGTCCCATGTGGGGAGCACACGAGCTCGCAAAGTGGCAGCGAGAAGTTATGACCAGGGTATCACAAGCTCCATAGCCATGGCAGGCTCATCAAAAGTGAAGTCGAAGGCTTTGTGTGGCAGCGTCGCTCCCGTGTTCCCATCTGAGTGGCTCGTATGTGATGTGACACTCTGCCCCAGATTTACACTGGGATAAGGAAAACTCGCTTCCTTTCAGCTTTTTGCTGACTCCAGCAGGTGGCTAGATCGAGGGCAGAACCCAGTCAGAGGTCACTGGTAAGATCAGTAGTCATGAATCAATCCCCATGATAGCTAAATTATTGAGGCAACACGGAGAATGTCTAGGCAACAGCCGGTGCTTAAGATTTGCTCCTTGTCCGTTTTGCGCTTTGCAAAATATGCATCTCCTAATTTGCCTAGGATAAATACCTCCTAATGCCGGCAGGCTTCCTCTTAATTTGCCTGAACTCAGCCCTGTGCCATCACTCGAAGCTAATGGCCAGTGCTGTTTACCGAGTGCTAAGTGCTTCATTTGGATGCACGTTGCAAGCAAAGGTCAGCCAGCCCCCACGCTAGGCGCCGAGCACTCCCGGCTCCGCGGAGCCGCACGAGACGCACCACGTTCCTCACAAACGTGGTCAGTCCTGCTCCCGGGGCCATGCAGAGATGTCTGGGCTGAGTGCAATGGAGCAGACCATGGGTTTGGATCAGGAACTTCTGCTCCTGCACAGCCCTACAGCCATGGACATGTGGAGGTCCTGGCATGGAAACCCCTTTGGAACCAGTTGTGAGTTGGATGAAACTCAAGACATGGCCACAGGCGCCTCTGCTTGTTTCACTTGTCCTTTGGATCCTCCCATCCTAGATTTATTGCCATGTTTAGAAGACTTTTCTGTGGCATCAGCATCAACATCCTTTCAGCCATTTCTGTTCAGAGAAGACAAGCGGCACGGCTAGGGCCAAAACTAGCTCCAGCCACGTCTGCAGAACCAGCCCTACAAGCCAGCAGAGGCTGCAGGGATGACGAATCCCCTGGAGTCCTAAGACCCCCAAGAGAAGCAGGTGCTCGATTTCTACCTTCTTTTGGAGAGGTCTGGCAGCCACCTGCTTTTTATTTCTTTGAATATCTTCCATCAAAGGTTTTATGGCTTATATTTCAATGGAAGGGCATAAAAATCCCTCTTAATTTGTAATATTTGTAAGGGATTACATAATGAACTGAACAGTTATCATGGGAGTTACTTCACTAGATCACCAGAAAACGACCTTTGCTGGAATTGTAAGCTTAATTATAAGCTAAATGACCTAGACATGTCCACTGGAGAGGCAGAGCCAGTAGGAAAAGAAAAATACATCTCATTTACACACAAGTATCCTAGCAGATGAAAATCCAATACATTATATCAGTTAAAAGCATGCATAAATTAACATTTTTTACAGTCTCCCTTTAAAAAGCTTAATGTCACATCTGAACAAAATTCCTTAAAAATATTTTCAACACGTGGTTTCAACATATTCAGGCCAACATTCAAAATCTTTTTTTTTCTTAATGCACTATAATCATATGTATTTGTCACTGAACTATGACATAGGATCTCTTTTCAATCACCAATGAATAGATAAGTATCTTTATACATTTTTAATAAAGGTCTACTGTTTACATTTATCAGTACATGTATCAACACTGGAAGATTTGAAACAGATTCAACAGATGGGCCGTGGTCACAATTATATTTTGGGCAAGTGATGCAAGTTTTGTTATCAGGATCCCGATGAAAGCAGAATTGTAAGCAGAATTGTAAGAGTAAGCAGAAAAGAAAACTTTATAAAATAAAAAGTGTTAAATAAAGCGCTGGATTCATATCAGATAGGAAGCACCTTCTTAAGACTCCCCTCCTTTTAAAACTAACTACTGCTCTTGGCCAGGTTACACCTATTACGACGATTCATGATTGGGAGGTAGTCACAGGAGACAGGTTCACTTTCTACATCATTTGGTCTCTGCTTTACTTATATTCTCTATCACAGGAGGTCAGCTACTGCTTGATATTCATACACCCTGCATAGCACAAGAAAAGTGCAAAGACCCCTCTTCCTCCTCTAAACTCCTGCAACCTACATGCTAATCGCCTGGGGTAGAGCTCAGCGCACATCCAGTCTGCTAAGTTTTACCTTTTCACACTGCAACAAGCCCTCCCTCAAACAAATATTAAGATTCCAAACGCACAGAGATAAAGACAAAGAGTGTGAGGAAATATAATCAACTCCACATGCCAACTATGCCATCAATAATAGAAAATAATTTACAGCACTTGCACCTGAGTTGAACAGTGGAAAAGAGAGGGAGACTCTGTCAGTGCGAGAGAATGATGCATGTGACCACTTTGTCTTAATTACTCAGAACAAGCAGTTTGTTGCTGCTTAGCGAAGAACAAAGATATCACTGTCCCCGGACAAAGTAGTAAATAGCCACCGTGATGGTGAAGACGATGATGACTGCCAGGACAACCATCAGGATCCGATTTTGGATGATCCTGAAAGAAAAAACAGAAGAGGAAAAAAAAAAAGGCAATGAAAACAGAAGAATATTTATAAAGCAATAAAAAGAGGTACCCCATAAATGTGTTGGAGAAAAGAGATATGCCACAAGCTGAGCACTTTCTATACCATTCTACACATCTTGGTCTTTTTTATACTTTTCAGTTTCCAGTGCTCCCAAATATTTCTTTATATAGCTATTAGATTTGACTTTTGCTTTGAGGAAAGAAATAGACTTTTCCTAATAGTACACACACACATATATTAGAATAATTTAAATGCATCATATTACAACTAATTATTTCTTTTCTGAGACAAATTAAAGAATTAATCCTCAGTTGATAAAATCCAAGGAATTGGTGGGTTCAAATAGTACACACTATTACATTTCTAAGCCATTCTGAATTCTTAACAGCTTTTTTTTTTTTTTTAATCTGAACAAAAAAAATATTAATTTTCAAGGGATTTTACTATTAAGGTATAAGATTCCAAGGAAACACGTGTCAATGAGATACTTACTTGTACTGAAATACCAAGGGAAAAGTATAAAAGATAGTTATGAAGAAAAGGATGATATAAAGAAGCAAGTGTCAAACTGTGAAGCTTATGTTGTAAAAGCCTCTCCTGCCTCTGTAGCATACCTTCACTTATGGTAATAGAGAAGCATTACCTTTACTATGAAGTATAAAAAAAAAGGGAAATCAGAAATAATAAAAAGATGCCAGAAGTTGAAACTGCTGGTATTAGTCAACCATCTTTTGCAAGGACTCCCTGCTTCTAAAATTGGATGCCACATTGCTTCAGATTTTGTTTGAAATTAAATATCAATTAAAATGGATAAACCATCAAACATTAAATTTTGCCACATTTTATGGAAGGATTTTGGACTATAAGAATTTGCCATTTCCGTTCTTATAGAGGGGAAATAAATAATATTCTCATCTCCAGAATGCAATAACTTTTGCAAAATATATTGGGCCGTGAGACACAACACCAGGACTAGGGAGAGTAATCAAAACAAAACAAAACAAAAGAGATATCCCCTAAAAAAAAGAAACCTGATGGGGTTTTTAATTCTTTTTTTTTTTTTTTTAAATTTGCTTCTGAAAAAGTGAAAAACAAACAAAACCCCCAGATCCTTCACCAACCAAACAGTTGGAAAAAGAGATGAAACTGTATTTTGTGAGATGTCAAACCAAGTACAAACTTCAAGACAATGAATGCAATGTGTTAAAATGAGCATATTTCATATGGTAAATGGGGGGGGGGGGGCGGAAATAAAACCAACAAAAGAAAACAAAACAAAAACCTCCAGGGAGCAGAGCAGAGTTTGCCTTGGTAAATGTTTTTCACTTGGATGCAGGTGGATATATATATAAAAATATATATATACACATATAGACACATATAAAGATTATATTGGAAAATATAAGAAAAATGCAGTTTTAACCAACTCCAGCTCTCTCCTGACTCACCGCCCTCCTAAAGAAGTAAAAGGATGGATGAAAACTGTCACATCAGGCAGCCCCCCTCCCCGGCGATGCTCTAAAAGGACTAGCTCTCTATCCTCCTGACAGGTTACAAAATGATCACATTTGCTGACACGTCTTCCGCAAAACTGCCTTAGTGTTTGTGTCCACTTTCCTAGCAGGAGATGAATGGGCTGCTTTGTCCTCATTTATCACTTAAAGCTCAACTAAGATCTGTCTCGTTTATTTTTCCCTTCCTCACTAGAAAGGCTCAACCACAGCATTAATTCTTTTGCGATGACAGCTAATTCAAACTTAACAGGCAATATTTACTCTGCCAAAAGGATGAGGAGGAGGGAGGGATGTTTCTCACTCTTAAGAATAAAAAAAAGTGTAGCAGGCTCAAAAATAAAGCTAATTGAGGGCTCTTGGTTCTCGTTGGTTTGCACTTCAATTTAACACCTGAACTTACAAGCAGTCTCTTTTGTGGCGGGGTGTGACATTCTCTGCCAAACACCTGATAACAAACGATTTGCCCAAGCCACTGCATGAAAACCAGAATATATATTTACTCACTCACCCTCATCACTCCCGCAAAGACACTCAACAAAACTGAAACTCAGCAGTGAAACAGATTAAAAGCATGAAAACTCTTAAAACATTCAGCCTTAAGTAATACACAGCGCAGCTGGCTTGACAACCATTTTATTTGTGGGATGTGGGCCCCAAGGCATCCATAATGCTAATTTACAAAGGATTAAGTGTGAGTGAAACTCCCTTAATCTAGCACATAGTTAGGCAAAGGCATACATAACATACAGAGTGTTTAAATCAGCTCCTCCGATCTCTAGCCCAGTGAGGAGGCATTTCATCAGCTGAGCTTTGAAACTGGAGAAAAATTAAAAAATAAAGCCAAGGCTCCAAATGCTTTATTTGTAATATTCTGGCAGTACACAGGCGATTGCAAGATTATTGAATCGGTGTCCATGTCTCCAAAAGCCTTGCCAAGAGAGCCCGGAGTGAGGGACGCTGCCACCTGTATCTAACTGAAGGTTCCCTCACAGTGTGAATCTAGGAAATACATATCAAAGTCCCATTTCTAGGAACCTGAACTAGTCTGCACGGCACAGCATAAGAATATCATATTAAAAGGAGCAAATTAATCATGAAATAGGATGGATGTTATCAACAGACTCCTACGCTGAAGCATTATATACGTTTAATATTCAAGCTCACAGTTAAAGATTCATTTTATATCTTTGGAAAAAAAAAACCATTGACTTCTACTGTTTTACTTTCCAGGGTATAAAACTGAACTCCCTGCAAGCTGCCGGGGGGACGGGGCTAGGCAGGAAAGGGCAGAGCTGCTGGGTGGCAGCAGGACTGTCTTGCAGGGGACTTAGTGGATGGTGCGTGTTGGAGGGCCACTCTGGTAGCTGCTGCTCACACAGTGAATGTCGTGGCAGGTCTCAAAGTCACTGGGCAAGGGGAACCCTCCAGAGCAGAGAGCAAAACGGGGAGAAAAGGGGTTTTGAGCGATGCGGGGCGCAGCGCAGGCAGCTCACAGCGGCGGAACAATGGTTGGCATTGGCAGGACCCATCTGTAGAGCCGCCTATAGTGCTGTCGCAGCCAGACACTGCCAGTGGGCATTGCTCGAGGCAAAGCATCAAGGAATGTAACGTGGGGGAGGGAGCCATAGTACCAAAGGAGAAGGGAATGGGGCCTAACACTCACTACAGAAAAAAAAAAAAATCCCAAAGGCTAACATGCTCACAAGAAGCAGGCAAAGCTCTTTTATCTCTATTACACCTTAAATTCAGCGAAATCTGGTGAATGAGGAAGCCCAGATTCTTCTTTGAAAATGCAAAGCATGTTTACAGGGTAAATAATTTAAGAAAGAATATATACTTGAAAGAAGACACCCATTGAAACATCCATGGCTAAAGTGCCTGAAGGCAAAAACTTGTGCATTTGCATGCTGCATTTTATTAAGTTAGCACACTGTAGCTTTAAAAGAATGCATGGCCAAATTAAGAGGAATGTGTGACTGAAACATCAAGGATTCCTCAAGTTTACATTATGAATCACAGTGCTGTTGATACGAGATGAATTAACCATTTAGTCGATGCAGCTTATGCACTGAATTCCCACCAAGTGCTGCTGTAGCCCGGCGTGTTGGAGCTCGTTAACAGCGCACGACGGCCGCTCCATTCATACTCCCAACGCAAAGAGTACAAGGGCTGCTTCTTCTTTTAGTTAGAAGAGACTCAAGATTTGTGCTTTTAAACTAAGTTCCATCTAGTTTATTGCAGACAGCAGCCCAAAACAGTAGGGTGCAAAACCACAGAGAAACAGAAAGTAAAGCAGAAGCAAGGATAACATAAAATGAGCTGTGGGAAGAGCACGATGGACAAACTTGCCAGGCTATCAGCACCTGAAGTGCATCCTGCTCCTGTTGGCTTTTCTCCTGCTTCTCCTTTCTAAATGTCCATGGCCTCTCCTGGCTTCTCCTCACAGAGTCTCAGTCTTAACTACGTGGGCTAGAGGAAGCTCCTGATGGAACCAACTCTTCATCCTTGGGCTGAAGGGATCAGCTCGCCAATGCACCAAGTGACCACTGCTTTGGAGAACAAGTCCCATCTCCACTCCCAAACAGCGATGCCTCTGGCACACCAGTTCCACGCTCCTGCCATGGCAGAAGCTGCTGCTTTTCCACATTTCAGAAAAACAAAACAAAACAAAAAGATTCCCTCCTCTCAGTGGCTTCACACGCGCACAATGGGTCTCACTCTGTTTGTGACATGTTTAGATCTGCTCCGTATAAACACAAAGCAGTTCCCAAATAAGCTATTGCAAACCTTACATTAAGGATGCCAACCGTGTTTAAACCTTTTTACAAAACTGCATTCATTAGCAGGGGAGTGCACGACATCTATACGGGTTCAGCCTGATGTCTTGCACATGTCTTAGTGCCTGATTGACCAGCATTGAATAATGATGCCTTGCCATTAAGCACTGACGGTACAATAACAATTGTCATGAAAATTAGCAATCACGGTAACATGTTAACAAAATACAGGATACAAATGAACCAGCACAGACTCTGGGTGCGCAAAGAGTTTTGTGTGCTGAACTTGAAATAATGAAGACTACAAAACAAAATACTGCAAAAAAAAAAAAAGAAAACCCTCCTACAGAAGCTCAACTCTGACACTGATACAAATGAAAAAAATACAAACGGCTTTGGGGATCAGTTAGCCCACATTCATTACAACACAAGGCTTTATTCTTAAAGAAAATGTCTTGAAAAATAGTGTCCTCAAGAACACAGACTGATTGATGACGGAGCACTGTCCAACCGTGTTTCACTGTAACACATGCATTTAAGATTTAACTAGGAGTGATTCCTATCAGCTTACTACGCAGAAAGGCTTCTTCTTTGTACGCAAGAGTACATCTTAAATGAACACTTCGAGTATTTGGCTATTACATTTTTTGGTACCCTTTTATCTGTGATCTGCAGTTT